CTGTAAGAGATTCAGCTTCTTACTAGATCTCTGTGTGATGATATTTTCTAGACTCAGTCAGACTTTATTGTCTTTCTTGAAACTCTTTGTAATATGCTTGAAGTCATAGTATCTCTTCTGATACTCTTGAGTCTTTCTTAAGAATTCACAGACTTTCTTCTGAATCTTCTGAATTCTCTCAGTCTGTTCACAGATATCACTACACTCTATAGTGTACTCTCACAGGTTTATCAAGATTATCTGTGAATAAGTCTCAGTGAGCATCTTAAATAGAGTTTTATCTGTGCTGACATGTTTTGAGTTGTTGTATATGAACTCTGTAAGTAATAATCAATACACTCAGTGATTCTGATTATAATTGATAAAGTATCACAGATACTGTTTTAATATACTCATCAGATATTTTATCTGATCATCTATCTGTTGATGAAAAGCTGTGCTTAGATCTCATGAGATCTTCAGTATAGTTATCAGATCAGATCAGAACTCTTCTGTAAAGATTGATTCTCTATCTAAGATAATATTCACAGACAACTTATACAACTGAATCACATTATGTATGAAGATGTGAGTCAAATCCTTTGACTTCAAGTTCTTGTGAGTGAGTATAAAGTGTGTTATCTTGATAAAGTAATTCACTATCATCAGCACACTGTCAAAGCAGGCATTATATATGTCCTTACTTTCAGAGAGGCTCACAAGAGTATTCATTTCTAGCTATTCTCAAGGTTTCTGCAGAATGAGTAGAGAAGTAAGTTCTTTATATGACCTGGACTGCACTACTCATGAATTCTGATAAATAATATAAGAATTCACTATCTTCTTCACAAGTTCTTGTATCTTCAGTTAGAAGTATTTTCTTATAAGTAACTCATGAGTTCTAGTATCTGTAAAATGACCTGCTAGAGAAGAGTCATGATACCTTTTAATAAGTTCTATATATAGAAACTCATTTATAGATATATAAATCTGACTCTCTCTTTATAAGAGATTATTTAAGTCTCTTCAATTCTTTATTTCTGCAGAGTTGATTTCTACTGTGAGCAGTTTCTAAATATACTGAGTATATTCATTCTTCAGTTGTAGTTCAGACAATCTGAATAGAAGATCTTATAAAGACTTATACTCTGTTTTTTCTTACATCAGATCTTTCACAGTGCTTCTCAAAGCCTGCAAACTCTTCAGATTATAGATACTCTCTTCAAGAATTCTTATGAAGATTCTCAGAGTGTTGACTCTCAGTATTATAAGAAGTAGTTGTACAGACTTCTCTTCTCTCTCTCTCTTCTTCTCTCATAGAGAATTGAGAGACTCTTCAGTCAATCTCTTTACAACACTCAGTCTGAGCATTTCATGAAGCTTTTCTGTCTTCTCTAGTCTCTCTGTGTCTGTCATTCTGGCCTTCTTAACATAGTCTGACCTGTGAGAGAATCTGTCTGCTGAGTTCTTAGTTCTCTTGATATGTTCTATCTTGAATCAGAACTCACTCAGTCTCTGAGCTCAGTGAATCTGTCACTGTGAGAGTTTCTTAATTAAAGTAAACTATTATAAGCTGTTATGATCAGTTTTAACAGTAATCACTGTTATAAGACTCTCAAAGTAGTGACATCAGTGATGAAAGAATTTCACTATTATAAGAAGCTTCTGATTATAAATACTATAGTTAATCTCTGCGAATTGCATCTTTCATGAGAAAAAGGCCACTGAAACCCAGTTCTCATTTAGCTGTAGTTATAAGACTATTTCTGAAATTATAAAGAAGAAGACATCTATCTTCAATCTGATTAAGAGTAAGAGATCAAAGTGAAACAGTATTAATATATCTGTGAATATCTGTTTTAATCTTACAAAGATCTCATGAGCTTCTGAGATAAGAAAGTTCTCACAGTTCTCTCTTCTCAATAATCTTTTCATTCTTTATTCATGAGATGACTTCTTCTTATTTTCATTCTTCAGTATGTCTGTAAGGGTCAAGAAGATTCTTATAAATACAAAGATAAACTGTCTATAGAAATTCATAAAGCTCAGAAAGATCTGAATCTCATGAATACTAGTTAACTCTGACTATAATAGAATAGTCTCAATCTGTGAAGATTTCATCTGAATATTATCTGCAGTGATTATATATTCTAGGAAATTAATCTGATGAGCACTGAAGTTACATTTTATAAGCTTAATATACAGTTCTGTCTCATCTAAGATCTTTAACATACTTCACATATGCTCAGTGTGTTCTTTCTTCTTCACAGAGTACATCATCACATTATTCAGATATATTATTATGAAGACATTCAGATATGTGTGAAGTGTTTTATTGATAAAAGACTGAAATGCTGTGAGAGTATTAGTCAGACTAAAAGACATCACTGAATATTTAAATAATCTCAGTGCAGTTCTAAAGACAGTCTTTTATTTATTCTCAGACTGTATTCACAGCTGTGTATATATATTGATTACATTCAGTTGTGTGAATATGATAGCTTCTGTGAGATGATTGATTACATTCTCAATCAGAGACAGAAAATAGCAGCTCTTTATTATCTTGAAGTTCAGATTATGATAGTCTATACATAATCTGAGATCTTTATTCTTCTTCTTCATAAACATTACAGAGGCTTCTGTGAAGATCTGTGAAGATTGAATAAAGTTATTCTTTAGATTCTTCTTTATATAGGTTCACAAGACCTCTGTCTCATGATAAGAGAACTTATAGATTGATCTTCAGAAGAGTTTCTACTCTTCTATTAAATCTATTATCAGATTCTTCTTATGATGAGAAGAAAGCTCAGCTGTCTTTACTGAGCTGAATATCTCTGTGAGATCTCAGTATTTCTCTGATATCTGAAGCTCAGTTTTCATGACTGTGAGATTCTCAGACACTCACAAACTCATCACATAGATGAGCTTGTCTTCTCTAATCAACTCTGCAGTATTAACTGATTCTATTCCTGTAAGTGAGTCTATCAACACTGATTGAAAGTATAAACCTGACTCACAGACAGCTATGTGCAGATTATGTCTTTGAAGTTATATAAGTTTCAAGTATATGTTATCTATAATATCTGTGATAATCACAGTTTCTGTAAATCTTCTTCAGATTTCAGAGAGATCTTGCAATTTAAAGATAACTCTTATAAGTTTCTCAGCTCTCAGATCTGAGTTCTTACACTCTGCTTGTTATAAGAGCAGGTTCTCAGTCTTCATCTTTCAGCTTATATACTCTGTGAGCTTTAGAGACATTACAGTGACCTGGGATTCTGAGTTCATCAATAATTCTTATACTTGTGAGACAGTAGTACTGCAGTGCAGTCTCTTTCTGTGAGTAAGCATTTTCATTAAGAGAGTAACAGATTCAGGTGTCAGCTTCAAAACTCTTAAGAAGACTGTTGCTGACTCTGTCTGTGACTTCTCAAATTTCTATTTTAATTTGTTCAGACAGTTTGTGCAAAGATGTTCTGATTTAGAATAGATAAAGTAGAGTCTCTTTTTCTTAATCTTTCTGTTGTACACTCTGTTCACAGAAGCTTATAAGACTCTTCTTCTCTACTCAGTAGTCAGATATGAATCTCTCTATATCTTATCATCTTTTTCTGACAAATCTGTTCTCTGTTATCCTGGCCCTTGCAGAGCTGATTGATAATTCACTCTCTGTGAGTCTGTGACTCTCACAGTGATCTGCAAGCAGTGAATAAAAGTCATCAGTTTCTTCAGAGTTAAGAACTTAGAGTCTTACTCAATGATCTTATTCTACATATCTTTATTCAGTCTCTTTATAAATATCATTATTCAGATCTTGTTTCAGAGCCCTGTTTTCACAGATCTCAATTCACATCATAATTTTATAAAGTATCATAAGTAGTCTTCATCAGATTTCTTATCTTTTTTTCTAATATTGATAATCATGATTCAGATGTTCTCTGTCTGACTTATGAAGTTTCTTAACTTATTCTCTAGATAGGTCTTGAGAATGAATCAGTGAGATCTCTTATGATCATTTTCTAAATGATTCAGTCAGTTCTTGACTTCAGTGTAATAGAGATCTGTCATTGTGTAGATGATAGCTTCTTCATCTTTCATATCACACAGCTGAGCTTGTAAGTCAATTTCAAATACAAACTTGCAAAAGCTTTTATAGATTGTGATTTGATAAGTGATCTTAAGTGAACACAGCTTAAGAAAGTTTCTTTTCAGTTTGCAGGTATTTCTGAAGATTATGTCTAGAGACTCAGTTTAAGAATGTTTGTGAATAGTAAGCATTTCTTATAGAAAAATAGCTTAGTTCTGCAGAAGATGCTCAAGAATGTTCTTCACTGAGATTGATTTATTTATAAGTTTGAAGAATTTCTCTGTCACAGATGTAGAGAATGATGTTCTGTAAGTAATTAATAAGTTCTCTGAAACTTCTTTTCTAAAAGTTATTCATGATTCAGATGACTGCTTCTGAGTGTCTGCAGTAGAGTTTGCAGAGATTAAAGCATATAAGTTTCTAGTTCTTCAGTCATAAACAGATAGTTGCTGACTGACTGAGCTTGAAATGTAGATAGTACTCACAGATGATTATTTGAGTGTTTGCAGCTTGATGTGATATGACTATAACTTACTAGAAGTATTTG